CTTCCCTAACTGAACGTAAAAATGGCTTTTCTTTTTAAGAGATCGTGGCAGTAGGTGGCTGGTTGTTGAGTTCTCTCTCTTTCTCTCTTCAATAGCCTTATTTGGAAAAATGAAAGATTGACAAACACATGTCAAGTCTTCCAATTTTTTTTAACTGGTCCATTGGAACCACTATTTATGGAATACAGATTTCACCTGCTCCCTCAAAGTATATGAGACAATATATAACAAAAGCTTCCCTGGATTTAAAAGTAGAAAATGCAGAAATGGGCTAGAAGACTTTCAAGAACTTGTCAGTCTGGGATAGACAGGAGACAAAGGTTGTGTTTGTTTTGCTTTTTATCAAATAAGATCGGAAGTCCCAAGGAACTATGCTGGGAGCCAGTAGAACCAAAGGAGGCTCAGATGCCATCAGAAAGTTCAGATGCCTCGCCAGTGACAAGGCCTACATGAGCAACATTCATCCCAAGCCCAAGCCAAGCAGGAACATAATAGAGATGAGATGATAAAAGCTAAATTACCATCTCAACCAGCATGTGTTTCCTTCCTGTTACCCACTGTTGCTACAGGGTGAAGGGCTGAGGACCAGGCTGCCATCTGCAGGGAGCCTGGCTTGGAGAAAGTCTCCAGTGCATGTAATGGCTGGGAGGGTAGGGGAAGCAGGCAGCCCACCTAATCCCGTGCCCACTAGAGGGGGTGGAGTGGCCTTGAGCAGAGTGATGTCCCTGGCTCTTACATCAACAGGAAGTGGAGGGCCATAAATAGAAGGTCAGGAGGGGAAGAAGTTTGAAAGAGGTGAAAGTGTTAATGGATCCCCGGCTGGCACCACCTCCTCCGGTCCAGTCACCAAGTACCCAGCACTGAACATCAAGTACTGAGCACTGGGCATCACCCAGCACCCAGCACTGGGCATCACCCAGCACCCAGCACTGAGCATCACCAAGCATCCTTCTTCTCCCCTGCCCAGCCTCCCTCCTCCCCCTGTAGCCTTCCCATCCTTCCTGTGTACCTTACCTCACCACATCACCTCCAGTCATCCTCACCCACCCAAAGTGATGCTAAGGTAACATTTGGCCAGGTGTTACCAGAAACTAGATGAAAGCAGAAGTTACGGATCGAACATAAGGAGAAATGTGTTCAAAGCCCCAGTTTTCGGTCTTAGGAACACAACTTTCCTGAATGTTTAAAGTGGTGAGTGGGCTCCATACTTCAAGTACCCGGAGTTAACAAGGCTTCTCACAGGCTAGTCTCAGAATCTCACCATCATCTATAATACTGCTTCTGAAGAAAAGTACGCTCCTGGTTCCACGCAGTAACCTTCAGTCATTTCATCTGAATGAATGAGTATAGTCTCTTTACGGTTTAGTTTCCTTATAAACAAAATGGGGAGGGGGGACATTAAAGCCTACTCTCGCTATACTTCACAGAACTGATGCTCATTAAAAAGATCTGTGTTTTTTTAAGACACTGCCGGTCGGATCTGTCTACCTGAATGGAGTAGCTCTGTATCACTAATGTCTGTTATCGCTGACATCTCTTTGCTTTTATAGAAATTTACTGCCTACAACGCAGGGGGCTGGGAAGGTGTGTTGTTAGCTTGCCATTTGCCATCTCTGAGTAATAGTCTTATACACGTAAACATAATGAATTTTCACAAAAGCTCTGATAGAACATTAGTTTCCTCTCAGAACAGAAATGAAAGAGAGAATGACAAGTGTAGTCAAAGAACAAACTAGATTACAGTTAAACAATAATCAAATGGGGAAAACCTTTAACTGCAATCTATTCTTTAGAAAGGCTCCAGGACACACAGATAGGGGAAGCTAGTAAAAATGCAACCAAGCTTTAAGTCCTTGTCCGTGCCAATAAACTGAGCTATTCCAAGTAGTCCTTGCTCACCCGTCCACCCCAGTTCAGCCGTCACCTCTGAACCCGCCCTACCCCCAGTCTGATTCTAGAATCTGTTTCCTGGGACCCCTGGCGTTTTGTATGGACCTTCACAGAGGCTGCAGCGCAGCTGGGCTTTATACCTGTCTTACCCACTAACTGTGAACTCCTTGAGGGGCCAAGAACATGATATAAAAAAGCAGTTCATTCACCTCAAGGGATGGAAATAATTCATTTTGTATTCATGTAATTTTAAAATGCAGAATTTGAGAGCTGGAGAGAATTTCAGAGACCAATTATTCCAAGCTTTCCCTCTCTTCTGAGATTTTAAATGACTTGCTCCAAATTAGACAAGAACCAAAGACCAGAACCCAGATCTTGACCCTCTTGTTCTGATGCTCTGTCCCAGCATACCATGCTGCCCTACCTTTGCAAACTCACAGAGTTAAATGAGGGAGTCTTAGAAATTTAGTTCAATTTTCCCCTCCACTTCGGCCCTTGGTCAAGTTCATAGGCCTTTGGAGGAGATGAAGGACTTTGCTCACAATGATGTGGTTCAGAGCAGCGCCAGGATGAAAACTCAGATCTAACTTGCGGGGCCAATGTTCTTCCCTGTACATCATAGTGATTCAACTTTCCCGTGGAAGGAGTGAATGCAGAAGCAGAACAAAAGAGAGCATGGCCCAGGGGCCAAAAATCTCACCAGGCCTGTTTTTGTACAGCTTGCAAAACTAAGCATGGTCTTTTACATTTTTAAATGGTTGAAAAATATTCGAAGGAATCTGAAATGCAAATTTCAGTGTCCATTAATAAAGTTTTACTGGAATACAGCCACAATCACATACATGTTTAGGGACTGTTGTGGCTGCTATCGTTAACAACGCAGAGAGCTGATGAGCTGCAAGAGGGACCTCCTGCAAAGTCTGAAATATTTACCATCTGGTCCTTCCCAGAAAAATCTATCCCTGGTGGAGGAGAAGCAAGCGCTCTCTCAGAAATCAGGAAAAAAAAAAAAAAAAAGTTTTACTACCACCAAACTCAGCAGCCCTCAGTGGAGAAAAACCAAGGATTTGGACAAAGCTCATACCATCTGCACTCGGTCACATCTTCATGCTGAATGACAGGGCTCAGAGTTCACGTCACGCGCATAAGCAGGGGTTAAACTGGGGCCTGCCCAGCTTGAATGAAGCAGTAGATGGGACAGAGCTGGCTCAGTAACACAGGTCTTCCCAGAGCGTCCTCCCCACTGCACCTCAATGGCTCCCGAGGTCCCTGCCAGCTCTCCATCACATGATTCCAAGATAGAGAGCTTCCCTTGACTCAGAGTAAATCAGCCCAGCTGAATGGAGGCAGCAAGGGCAAAGATGACCTTTTAGGGTCAGCCACCTGAGTGGAACCCTGCATTGACCAGTTACTACCTATAAGTCCAGGCCAGTTATGGAGCCCTTGGTTTTCTCATCTAAGAAGAAGAGTTAAGTCCTTCCTTCATGGGCTTGTTTGGGGGATTAAAGATACAGTTCAAATGTCAGTTCCCTTGTCATCTTCCTCTCTCCCTTTCCCACAGACAGTTATTTGGAGAATAAACAGTAAGTGAGCCTTGTTAGGAAACTTTCTTTCAAATTAGCTTAGAGTTTAAGATTTTTTTATAGAGTCTTATAAAAAATATGGAATCTATCAGAGCAATAAAAATAGGCTCAGTATTTGCTTGGGTGTTTTCCTCACATATCTTTCAGTTCTTTGAAGCTTGAAGCTTCTTCCAAAATATAATCCCAAAATAAGAGTGCTATAATTTTTCGAAAAGTTACGTTTATGCAATCTTTATAGCAAGCCACACAAAAAACTAAGCTATAATATATCATACTCATGTTCAGTTATGAAGACCAAGACTGTAAAAAATACCAGCACCAGAGAGCCCTAGTTTATTTAGTCTGGCTTCCTTAACATGAATTTCTTCTTGTTCTTAAAATACTCAGCTTTGGCCGAATTCCAAAGCTGACATAAGCCTACTTCAGGTGTTCTGAAGAGACTGAAGAGAATCAGAACTGAAAGCAAGACTGGAATATAAAATCTTTTATGTGATCACAAATGCAAGAACCTTATTGTTTGAAACCACCATTAAATCAAATTTGCCACCCACACTTGCAAAAATAAGTATGTATATATTCTCATATTTGGTTGTACAGGGTACTTAAGGTTAATTTCAATAGCATGTTACTATTTCTAACATTGGCAAACAGATACTAATTGCATCAGTCACTAGAACTGCAATGACACTTTCCGAAATCCGTGATAGGTTGAAAAGATACATTTTTTTATGGATTATGCTAGCAATCACTTTAAATAGCCAAACTAATCTTAGTTATTAAAACAGCAAATACCATTTTAAACAATGTTAAATTATGTACTTTCCAGCCTATCATGGTATATGGGGTAATAAAAAACAGATCCCGGTTCTCCCACCAAAATCCTTACAAAGAAACCACATAAGTCTAGTGCAAGCGACAAGGTTATTGCTTTTGGAAGTTATTGGATGGAAGTTCAAAATGGTAAGGCTGGGACATCCAAGCTACTAAACACGTTTAAGTAAAATGACTTGGGAAGATCACGACACAGCATGCAAATTCGTATAGATCTACTCTGCCAGCAGCAGGCTGCGTGGTTCCTGTACTCCCAAAACTACACAGAGAAAAAAATAAGAGCGTCATCTCAAACAGTCACAGGTATATATAGAAGGAAAATATGGGCCAAACCTAACAGAAGAGAAACCAAGACACCAAATGGACAAAGGCTGATTGGGGCACTATCTCGCACTGCTGAAGAACTGAAAAGTTCTTTATACGGACCCCTGGCTCCAGTGCGGGCGGGTGGGTGAGTCAGTCGGTCCAACACAAATACACACAGGATCTCGCATCAGCACCCACTCTTCCCCAGATCAGCGAGCGCCAGGCGCAGTCACGCAGCGCCGCTCGCTGCCCCTAAGGTGGGGCAAGAACTAAACAAGTAGGAAGCACGCTTGCAGCCTAGAAAAACACTGCCCCCCCCCGGCCCCCCGCGGCGGCCAGGGAAAACGCGGCCCCTGACCGTGGAGGATGGGGAAGGGGTTGCACACGCACCTGCATTGTAAAAACGGTCCAGCACGGTGGTTTCCCCAAAGTCCAGTTTACCAAAATGCAGGGTCTCCAGTGTGGCGCCCACCGTCTCGCACGCCTCCCGCAGGCTCTGCAGGGCCTCGCTCTCGGCCACCACCAGCTGCCCCTGACTCGCTTCGTTGATCACATATGCCACCGTGGTCCGTCGGCCGCCTCCGCTACTAGAGTTGCCCCGGCACCGGGTGGCGCTGCTCCCAGAGGTGGCAGCGGGACAACCGGTGCCAGGGGCGGCGGCAGTCTCTACGTTCCAGAAGCTGCCCGGCGGCGGCGGCGGCAGCTGGCTCTCCTCGTCCTCGGCCGCCACAGCCGCTCCTCCCCTCCGGCTGCTGCCGCCCTCGGCGAAGGGTGGCACCGAGAAAGTGATGCCCTCGCCCGCTTCGGCGCTCATCTCTCCTGGCCGGGCTGCGGCGGCGGCGGCGGCGGCGGCGGCGGCGTCCCCCGCCCAGCCGCACCGTCTGGCCAGCCACAGCTCCGGGCTGCTCCGCGCGCGCCGGGCTAAGCAGCTGCCATCGCGCGTCGCACCCTCTGCGCCGCGCCGCCGCCTCCTCTCCGGCGCCCTCTCCCCCGAAGGGACGCCGCTGCTCGGCGGTGGCTCGCCCCTCCTCGGCGCCTCCGTGGCCGCGCCGCTCGTCCGAGGCAGGGTGTAGAGTACAAGGGGTGGGGACGCCAGGTTGAGCGGGAAGGGACAGCGCTTCCTTCTCTTGGCCCGCAGACAAGTCAGCTCGCAAACCTGCGCCGCCGTGCAGCTCAAGGGCGCCGCGCTCGGGGTGCGGTGCGCCCTGGCCACCGCGCGGCCCCGGCTCCTTCCGTGCCGGGAGCTGGGAGGGGTCGGGGAGGGTGCCCGCTGGGTGGGGAGCTACCTGGCCAGCACCTCTCGGACGGGCAGGCTCCCCGGGCTGCGTCCGGGAACAGCAGCAGCCGCAACCGAAAGGACCCGCCTCCCTCCTCGGCGGCAGCTCCCCTTCATCGGCTCTGTTTCCTCCTCCTCCTCCTCCCCTGGCCTCGTTTCTCGCCCGAGCGTGCCGCGGCCGCTTCGTCCCAGCACCAGCCTCGCCGCTGGCGTCTCGCCGCTCCTCGCAGCCGCTCGCCCTGTGGGCCACCGGCTTCGGCCGCCCACTCGTCGCGGCACCAAGACTCAGGGCCCGCCCCCGGGGAGGGCCCTGCTGGGAAGCTCCAGCCGGGACGAAACCGACCGCGCCGCGGCTCCCGGACTTCGGCTGGGCCCCGAGCGCGGCGCGGGGCCGGGGTTCTCCGCCGTCACCCACCGGGCCCCCACCTAAGAAGACGCGGAGTCAGCCACAGTCCGGAGCGCACGCGACCGCAGCTTGGCGCAAAAAAAGTCTCTCCTGAGAACGCTCGGGGCTTGGGAGCTATCCGGGAGGCTTCTGCAGCGGTCCCCGCGGCCAGGGCGCCCCCCTCCGGCGCCTGCCGGCCTCGCCCTGCGCGTGGTCTGGTACAGAGCCGCGCCGAAGCGCTGGGGCTGCGCGGGGAGGCCCGCGTTGCGCAAAGCGGGCGGATTTACACTAGCACCCGACAGCGGGGGCCTAAACTGGACGGCCATCGATTCCCGACAGTGGCGCTCCGGGAGTGGCCGGCATAATTGACCAGGTCGGCCTCTGCTACTTTCCATTTAAAAAATTCCAGTGGCTATGTTAATATTAAGGGAGTAATTGAAACGACTTAACATTTTCATTTAGGTTCTTATAAAACTCCCCCCGCCCCGCCCCCACACACATTCTTTCTGGAGAAAGAATAAGGAGTCTATATATACCCCACTCCGCAAAGCATCATCCACCAGATGAAAGGAGGAAATTAAGTGGCATTCTATTTTTTAAATTGCACCCCGGCGGGGGGAGGGGGGAGGATACCTGGATTGCTTAAGAGCGATGAAAAGGAAGAGATCTACTTCTTCGGGGAGCAAAAACATGTGTAAGTTCTCAGAGAACTTCTCCAAAATGCTCTAATTGTTGGGAAAACCGGTGAAAATTGCAGCGAAATAAAGTAACGACTTTGGACTTCCCATCTCGGAGATGGGAACAGAGATTAATGAGTTCTGTAAATAAAGTAGAATAATGCAAATTATTAATGCAAATTCAAGTTTAGAAGAAAAGGAAGGATAAAACAGTTGAGTAGTAGAGTTAAAAAAAGGAAGGAAATAATAGTGAGGAAAACACCTAGCAGCTACACAACCATATCCTCAACGAAGCAAGTGACATTAGCTTTTTCTAAAGGTTTGTAAAATGATAGAAGTAAATTTATAGTAAGGAAATTATATATCAAATGGGATCTATATGATCTCTGTCTGCTTTAGGACTTGATCTCATTAGTAAAGTAGATATTTAGTGAATAGGTATCATACTGGAATAAAATACTGACAGGCTCCTAATAGATATACACGTTTTATTATTTCCAACTTGTCAAACCTCCAAACTCCTGTGGAGTAGATAATCCTTCACCCCATCCTGACCCCAAACAATACATGCTGGAAATTCATTAGGACCATGTCAGGAAAAACTAAAATGCCTAAATTCTCAAATCGCATTTTGCTACACAAATAAGATCTGAGATTATATAAAAAACTATTTTCTAAAACCCATACCTTTTTAGATCATTTCACCTTTGACCCCTTCCAGATCTTTTCAGAGCCATTTTTCATACACACAATTTTTATTTTTGTTTTACTTTGTTTGCTTGGTTTTACTTTGAATTGATGCAATAACTTTAAAGATCACCCAAACCCCCAGTGCAATGATATGACGGCTTCTAGTTGGTGCTAAGGCTCTCTCACTACCTAAATGGCGTGGTTTAGCTAATTAAACTTACATGCCATGTATTAGATTGAACCATGTGAAATTTCCATTTTATAGCTAAATTCAGATGGTTCAACTTACAACTCAGATGTGGGGTCTGTGTAGAGGCAGAGAGTACAGGTGGGGTACTGAGACCTAGCCTGCTCTTAGCTTGCCAAGCCTGGCTTAGGGTGTCCTGGAGGAATGAAAGCCTTTTTCTAATTGGATTACTTAGAAGTTGTGCCTTTGCAATTTGTCTGTAAAGAAGGAGCACTTTTTCTAATCCAAAAGGACATCTAAGATGATAGTGGTGAACAGGGAAAAATCATTGCCTGTCTTGGGGCAATATTTGTTCTTGAAAAGGCAAAATGTCACGTGAATTTTAAGCCTGAAATGGACAAGGATCTCCTAGCTGGCTAGTTTTTGTTTTAGGTGACAAGTGTGCCTTTCTCTGTATCCTCAGATAAGATAAATGGGAATACAATATACTCTTAATTCCAAAAAGTATTTAAGGTTACAGACAAAACAACATAATGTTTTATACGTAATAATGTAAATATGAGTTCAAATTATCAGAAATCAATAAGGAAGCCAGTAAAGAAGTATCAAGTACCTGGGATGAATTAATAATTTAATTATTGCTAAGTTTACCTCCATCTGTTTTGGCTGCCAAAATAAAAAGAAAATACATAAGTGTACATATAGTCATATGAAGAGTCAAGTCTTGTCCTGGCATGGAATTCTATGAAGACTTTATTACAGAATCCAATATAGAGTACATTAAGCAATACAATAGAATTGAATATGGATTTGTAAAAAAATTATATATGTTCTTCAAATGTATATTTAATATTTTTAGATGCCAAGAACACAATATTAAATATTAATTCAATGAAAGCATTTCAGAGGAACCTAAAATAATATAAATCAGATGCAATACTTTCTAGTTATATCAATCACCTTAATAAATGTGAGGAGTTGAGGGTATTATGTAATTCACTGTAAGATCATAACTTAGTATTCTGCATCGAGGAAAGAAGGAACCCAAGGAAATAGGTAACATATTGCTTAGATCCTATCATAAATAGCAGGCTTCCCTAGAAACTTTTGACAAGAATTAAATCACAGTCAGTGAATGACAGAAGTATAATATCATATTCTATGATCTCTTTACACTTTTAAAAGGCATGGCAGCAAAACTGAAGTTTACCGGTCAGAATCATATTCTCACTCAGAGTCTATTTCTCTTGCACTTAGAAATAAGCCTTGGGACACCTTTGAGAATCCCTACAGATAGAGTAAAGAATTTTCCTAATAAAGAGCTAGAGAAATACAAGGGAGAGATTTCTGCTTCTGATTTTGACAGATTAGGTCTTTCCTTCTCACTGAATGAGCCAAAGAATGCTGGACAAAGTTTGAAATTTAAAATAAAGGCATTAAAGCACTAATGAGATAATGAGGAACTATCTGGCCAGATTTTGGAAAAGAGGCCAGGGCTCTGGAAGGTGTTTTCACAGTTGGGGCTGCTTTAGGCCTGGCAGTTTTTGAGAGCCTGAATTAGGCAGCTGAAAGGCTGAACTAAATTTTTGACAACACCTGGAAGGACAAAAGCGAGGATGATATAGTCAAAAAGTAGGAGTGAAATAAAAGTAAAATGACTCTTACATGGATAGCACCCTGTCTCCAGGTATCTGAGTAACCCAGAAAAAAGTCTCAAACCCTGAAATTGGTTTAAGGTAATTCCAGTCATTCAACAAACAAAAGTCACTCCAGAGGAAGAAAACATCATCCTGGACCATGAATTATTTCTACAAATATAAGATCTGTGCATATAGGCAAACATTTGAATGCATGGTAGAATGGTAGAGGAGGAGAAGGATATGAACCAAATCCTGATTTTGCCATCTGTTCCTGAGTTCTCTCTTCCAGATCCACTCTCCATTCACATCCCCCTAGTCTCTGCCTTGGGAGGCTAGTCTGTATGAACTAAATCAATGGGCTTCCTTGCTTTCTGTTTACCAACTGGGATTGATCAATGGTGAGGCCAGGTAGGGTATCTGAGGGAGGAAGGGGATTGGGACTTTGTGAGTCACCTCAGGCTGGCTATGTTCTTCAATAGGAAGTCATTGCTTTTCTCAAGGGGCAGATCCTACAGGATCCACTTTCCTACAGGACCTCATAACTGTCCCTCACCTTGTCCTCTGGTACCTAGAATTGATGATAACTCTGAAGCCATTAGCCCCAAGTTTCAGCACAATCCTTTGAAGCTTCCTTTGTACCTCTTCCACACCTTCGTAATTAGTCTTTTTGCAAACAAACCCACCTCGAATTATCTTGTATCTTGACTCTGATAACTACTAATGAGCTTTTGCAAATTAGAAAACTAATTTAACTCTTTGGGTCTGGTTCCTCACCCATAAAATAAAGTGTTGAATTAGATTAAATTGAAAATCCTTTGAAACTCTAATGTGCTGTGTTTAAGTATTCAGTTGAAATACCAGTTCCCATACTAAATTGAGATGTGTAAAGAACGAAAATACCACTGGGTAACGAAATAGTACATGGGGGAACTTTCTCTTTGTAGAAATATTCTAGCGAA